GAGCCAGAAGACTTTCCCGGATAGAAGAGAGAGCGCGAGAATCGACGGGGGGGTCCCGATGCACTGGCGCGCTCGACAGGGGAATGAATCAGCAATAATCACTCAAACATAAAAGACCTCGAGCCTCGACCGATCGGTCGAGGACGCGGCGTCCTGGCGTCGCGCGCAGGGGGTTCGGCAGGGGCACGGCTTCTGGAGACAAGGGGCCCCGGACCTGCTCCCCCCGTTTCGTGGCCCCCGGGGCCCTTCGCGGGGCCGGGGGCCGTCAAAGAGAAACTTGGGAGGGGCGGAGAGAGGGGGAGAGAGGGGCGGGGCCCAGGACCCGCTCCCCTATCCCACGATGAGAGGGGACGACGACGCCTCCCACTGGCTGCGCGCAAGAGCGACCCCCCGAGGGGGTGGCGTCAGGGGGGACGGGTGGCGGGGACGGGAGGGGGGCCGACCCGAGCGCACGAGGCGGCGCTGGGGGGGGGGGGGGCGCTGCAGACCCGCACCACAGCTCCCTCCGGCGACAGCGAGGGGGGCCCAAGGACACACAGAGAAAGACACACAGATACCAGGATTCCCCACATCTTCCCACGTGTTCTGGGCCTTTCTCTTCCCCCCCCCCCCACACTTCCCACAGTTTGTCCCGCATTCTCCTGGGGGTCGACGATCACTCGTGTGTCTGTGTGTTTTTCCCTCCCTGAGAAAGGTCGCTCCCTCGCCAGGGGGCCTGGCTTGGAGGCCACGCCTCGGGCCCCCCCGGCGGCTGCCCGCGGGACGCCTCGGGCGCCCCCGGGGGGACGCCCTCGACGAGGCGCGGCTGTAGGAGGACGCCCCGAGGCGAGCAGGCCCGGAACGCGGCCTCGCGAAGACGCCCTTCAGACCGCGGAGAGGGCCGCCCCCCGCTGCGGGCCCAAAGCACGAGGGGGCCACTCTTAGGGGAACGACGCTGGGGCCCCCCGGCGGCGCCTCCAGCGCCGCCCCTGGCGCGCTCCGCGCGCCAGGGAGGGGGGTCCAGCGCCGATCCGAGAAATCCGCGCGGACCTCCGAGTTTTTATGCTTATGCCACTTTTTGTTCCCCTAACTCTTGCGAGGGGGGCCACTCTGACGCGCAGCCGACCCCCCCACGCGCGCTCCACGACTCGCAGATCAGCTGCTAGACAGTGGCCCGGATCCGCCGCGGAGGATCTGCGATCCATCACATCGAGGTGTGCGTGTGTGCTTTTCGGACGTTTGCGAGTAAGCACTCTGCGAGCAGTGGAACGCGCTCAGTGAAAGGTGCCACCCGTCCTGCCGGCCTGCTTGGGGCCGCCAGCGCGTGCGCCCCGCGGGCGTGCGCGCCCTGCGGGCTCTGCGGAGTCGACCGACGCCCGCACCTCCTCGCCGGGGTCGTCGCCGTCGTCGTCGTCGTCGACGCCGTCATTGTCGGCGTCGCCATCGTCGGCGTCGGCGTCGGCGTCGGCGTCGGCATCGGCGTCGTCGTCGGCGGCGTCGTCGTCGTCGTCGTCATCATCGGCGCGGCGTCGTCGTCGTCATCGTCGTCGTCGTCGACACCGTCGGTGACGTCGACGTCGTCGACACAGCTGGCGATGTCGACATCGTCGTCATCGTCGACGTCGTTGTCGTCGTCGACGACGTCGTCGGCGACGTGTTCAAAGAGGGAGGCGGAGAATGAGAAGGAGTAGGAGGGGGAGCAGGAAGAGGTGGAGGAGGAGGAGGAGGAGGAGTGGGAGGAGGAGGAGGAGGAGGAGGAGGAGGAGGAGGAGGAGGAGGAGGAGTGGGAGGAGGGGGAAGATGATGTGGAGGCTGAGGATGATGTGGAGTGAGACGGGGGGGCAGGAAGATGCGGAGGAAAGGGAGGGGGAGCAGGGAGCCGTGGAGGAGGAGGAGTTGAGGGAGGGGCCGCGCGCCAGAGGCGTGGGCGCGTTGCGCCGGCGAGCCCCCCATCGTGCCCGTCGGGGCACGGCGTGGAGGCCGCAGCCTCGACGAGGGAGATCACCCATTCGGGCGTGCGAGCCGTGTGATGCGGGATGACGATCTGCACAGTTTTCTGTTATTTCTGCACAATTCTCTGACTGGAAGAGAACGATCTAAAAAATAATGTTCCAACCCGCGGCCAGTTTTTTCTAATCGTCATCCCGGGCGCCGCCGCGTAACACGACCCCCGGTCATTTATTAATCGTCATCCACCATTACCGGCTCACGCAGTGGGCGATGGGGGGCGGAGGATCGAGGATCGAAGGCCGGAGAGGAGGCCGCGGAGGGGGGTGGGGGGAATCGGGGATCGAGGGTCGCGCACCGAGGTGTGTTTGAGCGTCGTTTCTCGTGTGCTGGGCCTCCTGAGGTCCCCCGAGGTCTCCATGAGTCCTGAAAGCAGATGGTCGAGGAGCGAAGAGGAGCATCGAGGGTCGAGGGTCGAGGAGGGAGAAGAGAAAAAGGTGGAGGAGGATCGATGGCGGCTGGAGGAGGAGGAGGAGGAGGAGGAGGAGGAGGAGGAGGAGGAGGCGGAGCGTCCTCAGGAAAGTCTGATCTCCTTACCTAGCCACTCTACGGGCCCGTCGGGCCGAATTGCCTCCAGCAGGGAGGTCCACAGCTTGACGCGCAGCCCTGGCGATCGAGCGGGCGACCGAGGCAGGGACCGTCCCTCTGGTGGCTTCGCGCTTCTCAAGGTGGAGAAGGCGGTGCAAATGGAACATCAACGCAACTCCTCGAGCCGAATCCAGCGTGGGGACGACGAGGGCAAGGGCAGAGAGTGGATCACTGGGCAACGGACGACCAAGGGCCACCCGCACCAGCTCACGAAAGTGCGGACACCAGAAATAGTGCTTCAGGCTATCTGGAGCATCACAACCCAGGCAGCATCTACGGTCTCGATTCTGGAGACGGGTGTCTGTGACCCAGCCCCCGAGCCAGGTCTTGATGCATGCACACCTCCAGCTCGGGGGCGCACGCATCAGGACCTGCTCCACGCCGTGCCACACTACAGCCGCAGCCTCCAGGGGGGGCACTCCGAACCATGTGGGGAGCCTCTCCGAGACAGGGCCCCGCTGTTTCTCATCCCTGGAGGCCCGCAGGCCCACTAAAAGCTCACGCTGCAGCCGTCTCCTCCGCCCGTCCTCCCACCGACCCGCCCCACCTTGGCTAGAGGGAAGGAGAGGGGGAGCGCCGCTCTTTTCGAGCAGCTCGCGCCCCGCCGCCTCTGCACGCTTCAGCGTGACTGCGGGGGCGGGCGCCTCCCACCATGAAGGCCAGGGCTGGCCTGACATGCAACGCACCATCGGCAGCCTGCGGGAGGCCACCTCACTCAGGCGCGCAGCGGCCCGACGCCATGTCTCCAGCGTCGAGAGGGCCGAGCGCATGAGAGACGCCGCCAGGAGGTCCGACGTGGGCACGCATCTTGAACCCCCCAGCGTCTCCCAGTCGAAGAACGTGTTCTTCTTGAACAAGCCTCCCGAGCACCTCGCGAGCCGGCACAGCAGGAAGCGCTCATCATCAATCAGCTCCGTCGGCATCGGCCAGAGCTGCGCCTTGTAGGCCAGGACGGGCTGGCATCGACGGCCGTACTCGAAGATGGCGGCCGTCATGTCCAGCGGGGATGCCGCCAGTGCCAGGACCCGTTCACGAAGGCGCGCGAGTGGCGCAGCCCACTGGGCCGCCAGCGATGCACCAGGGCCCACCAAGCATCCCAGCAGCTCCACCGACGAGGCCACGGTGAAGGAGCCCCACCCGCAGGCCTCGTCCAGGCACTTCCTCATCGCGACCTCCACCTCCGCCGAGAACGGAGCCCAAAGCGGGACGGCCGCGCACTTCTTGGGCTGGAGCTGGAGGCCAGCGAGACGCTCCGCGAGGCGGAAGATCCTCGCCAGTGTGCGGAGCCCCCGCCTGCAGAAGATCAGGGCCTGGATGTCATCAGCACACCAGCGAGTCAGGCCAAGGGCCTTGGCCTCAAGCTGCTGCATGTGCGCCTCCACGAACGGCTGCGCACCGATCACGAACATCGTCCCCGAGAGCGGGTCACCCTGCAAGATCCCGCACAAGATGACGAAGAGGACCCTGTGGCAGGGCCCCACCTCCACGACCTCGACGTTGGCGTAGGACTCCTTCAGCAGGTGCTCCAGGACGAGCGGCACCGTCCACGCCTCCAACGCCCACCACATCCAGTCATGGAGGAGCGACGGGAAGGCGTGAGCGAAGTCGAAGCTCAGAAGGGTCGGCTCCTCCCAGCCTCGAGCTTGCTCCAACGCGCACATGGAGGCGACGCGGGACATGGCGTCGAGCTCCACCAGGTTATCCAGGAAGTTCCGCCCCGTGATGAAGCCTCGCTGCGCCTTCGAGGCGCCACGGTCGATCATGCTCTTCAGCTCGAAGTTCACCGCAGAGGCGATGGCCTTGGGGCCCGTGGAGCGCAGCATGAGAGGTCGCGTCTCATTCGGTTTCCTGATGACCTCCATGCCGTCGCCGTCCAGCACCTTCTTCGGCGGGAAGATGGCGATGCTCATGTTGAACTCCCTGCGCATGGGACGGCCCAGAGCCATCCATCTCTGTGCCGCCAGGAGCACCTCGCAGCCCGCCGAGTGCGACAGCCACGCCCGCGCGGGCAGGCCATCGACCCCAGGTGCAGCAGGCCGAGCGCGCCTCAGAGCCTCCTCGATGTGCATGGCCGAGGGAGGCGCCAGAGAGCTCCAGTCAACCTCCTTCATGCCGTACTTTGCGATGAAGGCCTTGGAGTCACGCTCGCGTCGGCAGCGCTCCGAGGTGTCGTCCTCCGCTGCCAGGCACGCGGCACGAGCGGGGGGGCAGAAGACCTCGCCCTAGCGGTTCGCCAGCGCCTCGTGGACCTCGGCGGGCGAGGTGAGCAACCTAGGAGGAGGAGGAGGAGGAGGAGGAGGCTGAGGAGGATCGAGGTGAAGGAGGATCCAGGGTCGAGGTTCACGGGGAGGAGGATCGAAGATCGAGAAAGAAGATCACAATTCACAATCTTCGGCCTCTTGAGGGCCGTTTCGGTCCAGAGGGCCGTCGATCTTGTTCGATCAACCGTGAAAAGCTGGCCGCTTGGGACCCCAGCATAGCTGAGATCGGTACTGAACCGTTGTTTGTCGGAGGAGGAGGAGGAGGAGGGGGAAATCAAGATTCAAGTCTTTGGTCTGTGGATTTATGTTGGGAAGAGGGATCGAGGATATACGACCGATCTGTGGTTGCAGGTGCTTGAATATGTGCTGGTTCTCCGCGGCTGTTTTCGTCGCCAGCTGGATCCGCCCCGAGATCGACCGGCCAGGACGAGCTTCAGGACAACCGGGGCGGGGATTTTGATGAGGGAAGACGCAGCGGCGCGGGCGGTCGCCCTGACTCTCCTCCTCCTCCTCCTCCTCCTCCTCCTCCTCCTCCTTGTCCTCCTCCTTGTTGTTCGACGTTAGACCAACTTCAGCTGCGGGGGCTGTAGCGATTGTCGGGCAGGAAAGAAGAACGGCCGACTTCGGCGAAGTGAGCAAACCAAATTATGCCGAAAGTAGTGTAAAGAGAATTGAAAAGAATAGTGGTCCGACAGGGCAGGAGTGGCCTAGTCCACGGCAGGGCAACGAAGTTCTCCTCCTCCTCCTCCTCCTCCTCGCTCCTTCTGCCCGTTTTGACTCCGATCCTCCAGGATCCAGGAGGGAGGCTTCTGCTGACCCAGACGTCCTGCGCTCCGACTTCTTGCCGATGCACGTGGGTCCCCGGACCTCGCGACCCCTTCCCTGCTGGACCAACCCTCCATCCCGAGCCGTTCTGTTGACAGGCCCCAGGCCCGCAGCCGGTCTCCGGAGACCCAAAATTTTCGGCGGCGAGCCGGGGGGGAAGCGAGAAGGGGTGGGCCTTCTCAGAAGGCTCGGAAGCCCCCTGACCTCCTGGGAAGTGTCCTGAGCCTTCCCCGACGATGCGAAAAACTTATCGGAAGGCCAGAGGGCTCCTGAGAAGCCAAGCCGCCTTCTGAGAGGGCCTTCCCCATCGCTCGCCGCCAAAAAGCGGCGACCAAACGGCCGACAACATTCTTGTTCGAGGCGCCGGATGCCTGATTCTCGGGTCATAGCCCGGTTCCCCGGATCGGCAAGGCGCAGCTGCTGGAGGGCACCACGAGGCTGCAAGCACTCCGGGAATCCACAAAAACAACTCGAAGCCCTCTGAACTCCTGTTATGTCGCATCTTTGGGGGGAGCCGTCTGTCCCATTGCGCCAGCCATCGGTATCGCATCCATGCCGAATCCATATCGAGCGCGTCGAATCCGTGTGGAATTCGTATCGAATCCGTGACGAGCCCATGTCGAATTCATGTTGAATCCGCGTCGAACCCAAGTCGGAGCACAAGACATGCTGCCATGTGCAGGACAGGAAAGGTCCCCCGAAGATGCAACGCAACGCCTCGCCGGATGTCTGGGAGCCACGGCGCGGCCAACGAGGACGGCGCGGCAGCAGCCAACGAGGGCGGCTAGGCGCAGCTGCTGGAAGGCATCCCGAGGCAGCAGACCCTCCAGGAGTCGGCGAGAACGGCTCGAGACCAGCTGGGTGCCCTCGACTTTGCTTCCCGGCGCCACACGTCTGGGCGCGAGGGCGCGGCCAGCGAGTGAAGGGGCCCTGAGACACACAAATAAGTAGACACAAATACAAGGATTCCCTATATTTTCATATATTCTCAGGGTTTTTGTCTTCCCCCCCACTTCCCATACTTTCCTACATTTTCGCGGGAGTCGACGATTAATTGTGTCTGTGTGTGCTTTTCCCCTCCTGAGTCTGGGCGCGAGGGCGCGGCCAGCGAGGGCGGCGCGGCCGCGGGCGGGCGGGGCGGTCCCCGCCGGTCCAGGCGCTCCGGCTGCGCGCCTCCGGCCGCAGCGGGGGGGGGGGCTGGCGGGCGGGCAGAGCAGCGCGTCTGCCCCAGGCCTGGCCAATGCTGGACCTGGGATTTTCCTTAGGTTTTCGATCGGAAATCGAAGTTTTACTCATGGAAAAAAAGGGGCCTCGTTCCTTATTTAGGGTTCCTTAGGTGAACGCCCCGACTGTGGAGGAACAAAAAATGGCATAAACATAAAAACTCGGAGGTCCGCGCGGATGTCTCGGATAAGCGCTGGACTCCCCTCCCCTGGCGCGCGGAGCGCGCCAGGGGCGGCGCCGCCGAGGCGCCGCCGAGGGGCCCCAGCGCCGATCCGAGAAATCCGCGAGGACCTCCGAGTTTTTATGTTTATGTCACTGTTTGTTCACCTATGGGAGCAGAGCAGCGCTCTGCCCCTCCTCCTCCTCCGCCTCCTCCTCCTCCGCCTCCTCCTCCGCCTCCTCCTCCGCCTCCTCCTCCTCCTCCTCCTCCTCCTGGACCTGGGAGCAGCGTGCATGCATCCCTGGCCACGCCAAGAAGTGCGCATACGCCGCTCCTGGGCCCAGGATGGGCCAGGCCTGGTGCGGTGGACGTGTGCGGATCCCCCGGCGCCCTGCGTGCTCCGGCTCCCTCTTCAGGCCTCACTCCACCGCGGCACGGCGCATCGTGCTTTTGTTGCCCATGATGGCCGAAAAAGTACAGTCGGGGCGCTGACCTAAGGAACCCTAAATATGGAACGAAGCCCCTTTTCTCCAGAATTTGAACTTCGAGTTCCCTTCGAAAACCTACGGAAAGCTTGGGGCAAACTCTGAAACAATGAAGGAACACGGAGCCCCTATCCAACGAAAAGAGTTCCTTCTTCAGCGCCCCGACTGTAAGCACCGCACCATTCCTGGGTCGAGGATCGGCGACGTTTTGGGAGACGCCAGCGCGGCGAGGTGCATAATCAGGGCAGCAGGCAGGCAGCCTGGAGCTTTGCAGCGGCCCGATCCTGTCCCTGCTTCCCCCTGCAGCAGGGGCAGGATCAGTCAGCATCGAGACGTGAGATCCGCCGACCCTTCGGTGCGCGTGAGAGGCTCTTCCGGTTGAGTCGTCGTCGTCGTCGTCGCCGTCGTCGTTCCCAAGGAGTTCGCATGGAACGCAGAAATTAGAGAACGTAGCAGTTGACTCGAAAGGAAGCCACTTCCCTTTGATCCATTCCCTGCCGGTGGGGGGTCCTGAGAGGTCCCGGGGTGTGTCCTGAGGAGGGTCCCGAGGGGGGGTCCCGAAGGGGGGGTCCTGGGTCAGAATGCAATCCCCCCAGGGGGGTCCCCCAAGTGGCTCCCAAGAGGCTCCAAAACTGCCCCCCCGAGGCCACCGAGAGCGCTCGGAAGAGACCCCAAGAGGCATCTTTGAGGGCTCTGAACCATGTCAGCGTACTCGTCGTCGCCGTCGCCACCGCCTTCGTCGTCGTCACCCATCTTCAGGGTCGGGGCACCAGCCGAAAAGCATTCGCACGAATCTTCGTCAACATCTGCATCCTCACCAACATCAGCGTCGACATCTAACATCTACGTCAGCCCTCATGTCGACACACCGACCTGAAAGACAGACCGCTGGGTACTACTTCTACGACTACTTCCACTACTAATACAAATTCAACTACTAGTCGTACTAATAGTACTACTACTACTACTACTACTACTACTACTACTACTACTACTACTACTACTACTACTAGTAGTACTACTACTACTACTACTACTACTACTACTCCTACTCCTACTCCTACTCCTACTACCTACTACTACTACTACTACTACTACTACTACTACTACTACTACTACTACGACTACTACTACTACTACGACTACTACTACTACTTACTACACTAACTACTACTACTACTACTACTACTCCTGCTACTACTACTACTACTACTACTACTGACTACTACTCTACTACTACTACCTACTACTCCCTCCTCCTCCTCACTTCCTACTACTACTACACTACTACTAACTAACTACTACTTACTAGGCTACTACTACTAGGCCTACTACTAACTACTAATACTACTACTGACTACTACTAACACTACACTAAACGAACCTACTACTACTCTACTACACTGCTACTACGAATGAACTACTACTACACTACGACTACGACTACGACTACGATACTACTACTACTACTACTACTACGACTACTACTACTACTACTACGACGACTCATACTACTACTACTACTACTACTACTACTACTACTACTACTACTACTACTACTACTACTACTACTAATCCTACTACTACTACTACTACTACTACTACTACTACTA